AGTAGGTCTAGTGTGTTCCCTTTGGGCGTAACTGGCTGACTTTAAACTTGTTCATATCCAGATGGACATTTGGAGGCTTCTTGGGTCTGGAAGGGAAGAGGCTGAGGAACCTGTTTCCCTTACCTTCAGGGCATATATCCTGGCCCCATACCAGACCTTTTGAATTGTAATCTCCAGTGGGGGATCATCTGTGAATCATAAATGCTTAACTAGAAAACTGTGGTTCTGTTGGTTATAGAGTCAAACTTGTACGTTTAGAAAATATTATAAAATTCATGCTCTTCCTCTATGCTCTTGAGCATAACCTTTACCTAAAAGCAGGCTTTTTTGTGTGTTTCATGTTTCCCTTTGTGACCTGTTAGATAAACTTCTAGGTGTGGCTTTTAAATAAAGAGTTTTAAAACTCTTTAGACCTAATTAGAACTGATTTGTACAACACATAAAAAATTAATACAGTGCTCTGGGCTTTTGAAAGCATTGCTTTTGACATGTGCGTAGCTTTTGTGACAAAACAATCTCACTCTTCAGTAATTTGAGTAGTTGTCTAGAAGATGTTTAGCTTGTCCTTTAGAAAAAAATTGGAGTAACACTAAAATTTTTTAATATGTTTTACTTTTTGGTGATGAATATTAAGCTCACAGGTGGTATCTCGAACTTGAAAGATAGTTAAAAATGAGCATCGTTCTAAGTAGTGTTCTGTTGGTAATCTTGATACTTAACCAGTGATGATTTTCTTGTTTCTCTGAATTAAAAAATGATCTTTTTGAATGTAGTTGTTTAATTATTTGGTCTTATATATTGCTTGTGAATTGTTCACAACTTCACCAATTTGGGAGAAATTCCAGTAAGAGATGAGTGACTCATTTTTACTTTGGGGAGTCTTCTTAATATGCCAGACATTTTTAGGGAATTTTTTTTTTTTTTTACAAGTTTCTTGGAATAGTTTTGGTGTTAGAAGGTAAAGAAAGCACTTTTCCTTAAGATTTCGAACCCCAGTGGTTTTAAATAGGAATTAATCATTATAGCCTGAGCTTTCACTTCATTTATGTTTCTCAATGCTTGATGCTATTTTGGTACAAAGGAAAATATTTTGAAAGAGCAATTGCAAGAATTTCCATAAGTACCCTTGAATTGATGACTTTGTCTTTTGTCTTAGAACTGTTTATGTGTGAACTTGTGCTTTTTCATCAAGTGTTTGGTGGGACCTGAGGAAATAGGTTGTAGTTGGACTTGTATTAATGGAATTTTCTGGACTGGTTTAATCAAGTGATAAAAAGTAATTACCAGGTGTGAAGCTGAGCTTTATGACTGTTTTAGTTTTTAATTGATTTCATTCTTGGACTAATTTATGGCACATTCTTGATGTATGTAAATATATAATGTTTTGAGAAATACTCAAATTTGAAAGCAATACCAAGTAACAAGTATGTGTGGGATTTTGGTACATGTGGTTTCTTTCTTTCTTTCCTTCTGTTTTTTTAATATGCATTCTAATGAAGTACTCCGTGGTGGTTTCAGACTCGCCTTCATAATATACAGTTCAGTGTGGCCTGTGCGTGTTGTTTTGTGTTTCCTGCATTGATTTTTGCCTCCGTTTATTCTCTATTGCAGTCTAAAAGTTGGTTTTAATTGGTTGCCCACAGGATTGACTTGGCCTCTACTTCTTGTTAAGAAAATACATCTCTTGTTTTATCAGGTAAGAGATTTTGAATAGAGGGTTTGTTTTTATACAAAATAAAATGAGACAGCTTATTTAGTAACATGAAAATATGTGTAGTAACTGAATTGTGGGGGATTTTCTTTTTCTTTTTTTTTAACAGTCTTATCTGAGGGATGGGGGTGGGGTGGACTGGGTGCCTTGAACAGTCGTTGCTTTCTTCGGGGTTCAGTTTTATATGGATGCATTTCTTCTGCTGAATTCCTGATTATTAGGCAGTAAGCTGTTTTTTTCCCTCAGGGTAGCATTCCAGACTCATTACAAATATAGGTGCTTGTTATTGGTATGGTTTTTTAATATTCCTTAGAGGTAAAGGTGTAGATAATGGGTCATATGTTTTAGAGTACCTATTTTGACTTTAGATGGAACTTTAGTGATTGGAATCTAACCCTCTTGTTAAATAACAAAGGTAGGCTCAAGATAGTTGAAATGACTTACCTGTCAAACAGGCACTTAGTAGAAGAATAGCATATCTTATTTCATATTTTTTCAGAACCTAAAAACTTTTCTCTTTAGATGGCTCTATGAATAACTCTTGTGTTCTTTGGTTTAATCCTCAGCCCTTTTCTAGCTGGTAATCTGGGCAGATTTTTCAATATCATGATTTCATTTGTACCTTGTGCAGACTTCACTAAAGCCCTTCTCTTAGTAGCAGATGGTTTTTTGAGAATTACTGTGTCTCTTTAGCCCTGTGTTTAATTTTTGTGTTCTTGGGACTATATTAAATTCCCATTTTACTGTCCCAGTGCAAACTAACATCTCTCTATCTTTCAAGTGTTTGGGTGCCTAGATTACTTACCCATGATTGAGTGATTAAGTGATCAAGCATTTTTTTGAAGTTGAACAGGAATGCTGTCTTAATTTTGCATGTAGCCAATATGCTACAGACAGTAGGGAATGAGAATTTGATTTAATGTCTTGAAATCTCGATGAGCTTCCATATAGACTGCTAAATAGTCGTAAATAAGAAGAAAAGAGTTTGTTGGTGTGATTTTTTTTTTTTTTTAGTATTAATTTTTCTTGTTGACTCTTGCAAACCAAAAAGGAAAAGCTTCCCTCCTCCCCCAAATTTCTGGTGTTTTATAATGGTCTCATAAAGAGCATTTTCTGTTTGCCAGTCCATCTTCATTAAATTTGAAAGTGGCTTTTATTTTTGTGTATGTGTGTGAGAAAACTATCAAAGCCAAACAGTACATTTCTGTTTTGTGTACAGCAGTCATATTGGTTGAGATATAATTACAGATTTTGTTTTATCAAATTAATATTCACACAATATTTGACATTGAAAAACTGCTTTTGTGGAGTTACAGGATTCTTAGAGCTTGCAGTAGCTCTTTTAATGTTCCTGTTTGGGAAGTGATAAAACCAAAGCTCGAATCATTTATAGTTTTTCTGAGGTCACAGAACTGGTTTAATAGGTTTATATTTAAAAGTTGATTTTTTTTTAAATTTTATTTATTTGTCAGAGAGAGAGAGAGCACAAGCAGGGAGAGCAGCAGGCAGAGGGAGAAGCAGGCTCCCCTGCACTCTGTCCCAGGACCCTGGGATCATGACCTGAGCCAAAGGCAGCCACTTAACTGACTGAGCCACCCAGGTGTCCGTTAAAGTTGATTTTTTTTTTTTTAAGATTTTATTTATTTATTTATTTTTATTTTATTTTATTTTATTTTTAAAGATTTTATTTATTTATTTGAGAGAGAGAGAATGAGAGATAGAGAGCACGAGAGGGAAGAGGGTCAGAGGGAGAAGCAGACTCCCCGCTGAGCAGGGAGCCCGATGTGGGACTCGAGAGTCCCGGGACTCCAGGATCATGACCTGAGCCGAAGGCAGTCGCTTAACCAACTGAGCCACCCAGGCGCCCCAAGATTTTATTTATTTATTCATGAGAGACACAGAGAGAGAAGCAGAGGGAGAAGCAGGCTCCCAAGGAGCAGGGAGCCCGATGCGGGACTCGATCCCAGGACCCTGGGATCATGACCTGAGCCGAAGGCAGACGCTTAACCATCTGAGCCACCCAGGCGCCCGTAAAAGTTGATTTTTAAGATGACTTGGAAAACACCCCATGTTGCTGATCACATAAATTTCAAATTAATATTTTTTCCAGTCCCAAGAATTTGTTTTATATCACTTTACAAAGGGCTTCCCTTGCATTTGCTCTTGGAAGCCGTAACAACTGAAATACTGAAATTTTATTTAAATCTGGGAGAAACTTCTCCAAAAGAGAAAGTTCAGAATGGGACTTTATTTAAGGAGACCAGTGAGCTTCCAGAAATACCACAGGAGTTATATTGAGTAAAGACTGTAACAGTCACTGAATAAAGTTCATACCCTTGTTCTTTTTTAAAACAAAAGCAAAACCAAAAAATACCCTTTTTTCGTTATCAGCCTTCTTTGGGAAAAACGAGACTTTTTTGAGTGTGTATGTGTGTTTCTTTTTTTTAATGGTGAGTTTGGAAATAAGTCATTGGATCTGAGTTTTAATTAAAACAGCTATGGTGAATGGCACTGCAACCAGGTTCTACTTTTTGGAGTGATGAATATAGATAACTAAGATTTTGGCTATTTTATTCAGTATTTCTTTTGGATTCTTTGTATGTATTAACCTTGTCTGTAATAAATAATTCCATATATAGTTTTCTTTAATAAATAGAGCTGTAATGCAGATTGAAGAGTTTTAGGTTGAGTATGGAATCCATTCTCTTTTGAGACTTGAGTCTACTTTAGTGTTAAGTATTATTTGTAATTCATTAGTATTCCAGTTTTCTGTTTCTGTTTTGCATTTTGAGATTGAGTCATATAAAATGACACTGATAATTCTACAAAGTTGTCATGTTTATAAGGAAAATGCTAAGCCACTTTTAAATACTAACTTTGATACATCCTTTGCATGTTTTTCCCCTGCAGATTGTTCAACTTTGTGTCCTGATTTGACTTACACATTTCTTTTAAACCTTACTGAATAATTAGTGGTCTGAATGATGTAATTGGTGATTCTACTTCTTATGGTGGTTTTTTCCCCCTGAAACTTTTGAGTCATGGGACTGAACTTCTAATTGTTTACAGAATTAATGCCTTTTGGAAGTTGAAATTGTCTAGGTTTTACATTGTAAATGGCACATAATGTTCAGTTTTTAGGATATTCAAATAAAAAAAACCTGCATTGCTTGTGATAGTTTGAGGGTATATTTGAGGGCCTAATATGGTAGCTGGTCATTCTTGTAGTTAAAAACTTGGTGTGATAAACAGGAGTCTGACCTGGCCGTTGCCTTTTCTCATCTGCAGGTGTGTGTGGTTTCAGCGCAGCATGGCTGTGGTCATCCGTTTGCAAGGTCTCCCAATTGTGGCGGGGACCATGGACATTCGCCACTTCTTCTCTGGATTGACCATCCCTGATGGGGGCGTGCATATTGTAGGGGGTGAACTGGGTGAGGCTTTCATCGTTTTTGCCACTGATGAAGATGCAAGGCTTGGTATGATGCGCACAGGTGGTACAATTAAAGGGTCAAAAGTAACACTTTTGTTGAGTAGTAAAACGGAAATGCAGAATATGATTGAACTGAGTCGTAGGCGTTTTGAAACTGCCAACTTAGATATACCACCAGCAAATGCTAGTAGATCAGGACCGCCACCTAGCTCAGGAATGAGTGGAAGGGTAAACTTGCCTACAACAGTACCTAACTTTAATAATCCTTCACCCAGTGTAGTTACTGCCGCCACATCTGTTCATGAAAGCAACAAAAACATACAGACATTTTCCACAGCCAGCATAGGAACGGCTCCTCCAAATATGGGGGCTTCATTTGGGAGCCCAACGTTTAGCTCAACCATTCCGAGCACAGCGTCTCCAATGAACACAGTCCCACCACCACCAATTCCTCCAATCCCAGCGATGCCATCTTTGCCACCAATGCCGTCCATTCCCCCAATACCAGTTCCTCCTCCGGTACCTACATTGCCTCCCGTGCCTCCTGTGCCCCCTATTCCCCCAGTCCCTTCTGTGCCACCCATGACCCCACTGCCACCCATGTCTGGCATGCCACCCTTGAACCCGCCACCTGTGGCACCTCTACCTGCTGGAATGAATGGCTCTGGAGCACCTATGAATCTGAACAATAACCTGAACCCTGTGTTTCTGGGTCCATTGAATCCTGTTAACCCTATCCAGATGAACTCTCAAAGCAGTGTGAAACCACTTCCCATCAACCCCGATGATCTGTATGTCAGTGTGCATGGAATGCCCTTTTCTGCAATGGAAAATGATGTCAGAGATTTTTTCCATGGGCTCCGTGTTGATGCAGTGCATTTGTTGAAAGATCATGTAGGTCGAAATAATGGGAACGGATTGGTTAAGTTTCTCTCCCCTCAAGATACATTTGAAGCTTTGAAACGAAACAGAATGCTGATGATTCAACGCTATGTGGAAGTTAGTCCTGCCACAGAGAGACAGTGGGTAGCTGCTGGAGGCCATATCACTTTTAAGCAAAGTATAGGACCTTCTGGACAAACCCATCCCCCTCCTCAGACACTTCCCAGGTCAAAATCGCCCAGTGGGCAGAAAAGGTCAAGGTCAAGATCACCACATGAGGCTGGTTTTTGTGTTTACTTGAAAGGGCTACCATTTGAAGCGGAAAATAAACATGTCATTGATTTTTTTAAAAAGTTGGATATTGTGGAAGATAGTATTTATATTGCTTATGGACCCAATGGGAAAGCAACTGGTGAAGGCTTCGTAGAATTCAGGAATGAGGCTGACTATAAGGCTGCTCTCTGTCGTCATAAACAATACATGGGCAATCGCTTTATTCAAGTTCATCCAATTACTAAGAAAGGTATGCTAGAAAAGATAGATATGATTCGTAAAAGACTGCAGAACTTCAGCTATGACCAGAGGGAAATGATGTTAAATCCGGAGGGGGATGTCAGCTCTGCCAAAGTCTGTGCTCACATAACAAATATACCATTCAGCATTACCAAGATGGATGTTCTTCAGTTCCTAGAAGGAATCCCAGTGGATGAAAATGCTGTACATGTTCTTGTTGATAACAATGGGCAAGGTCTAGGACAGGCATTGGTTCAGTTTAAAAATGAAGATGATGCACGTAAGTCTGAACGCTTACACCGTAAAAAACTTAATGGGAGAGAAGCTTTTGTTCATGTAGTTACTCTAGAAGATATGAGAGAGATTGAAAAAAATCCCCCTGCCCAAGGAAAAAAAGGGTTAAAGATGCCTGTGCCAGGTAATCCTCCAGTTCCAGGAATGCCCAGTGTGGGAATGCCCAGTGCGGGAATGCCCAGTGCAGGAATGCCCGGTGCGGGAATGCCCGGTGCGGGAATGCCTGGTACGGGAATGCCCGGTGCGGGAATGCCCGGTGCGGGAATGCCCGGTGCAGGAGGTGAAGAGCATGCCTTCCTGACTGTAGGATCTAAGGAGGCCAGCAATGGGCCTCCATTTAACTTTCCTGGTAATTTTGGTGGGTCGAATGCCTTTGGGCCACCACTCCCTCCTCCAGGATTAGGAGGGGCCTTTGGTGATGCTAGGCCTGGTATGCCTTCAGTTGGAAATAGTGGTTTGCCTGGTCTAGGACTGGATGTTCCAGGTTTTGGAGGTGGACCAAATAATTTAAGTGGGCCAGGATTTGGAGGAGGCCCTCAGAATTTTGGAAATGGCCCTGGTAGTTTAGGTGGCCCCCCTGGCTTTGGAAGTGGCCCTCCTGGTCTTGGAAGTGCCCCTGGGCATTTGAGTGGGCCACCAGCCTTTGGGCCTGGGCCTGGGCCTGGCCCTGGCCCAATTCACATTGGTGGTCCCCCTGGCTTTGGATCTAGTTCTGGAAAACCAGGACCAACAGTAATTAAAGTGCAGAATATGCCCTTCACTGTGTCTATTGATGAGATTCTAGATTTCTTTTATGGCTATCAAGTGATCCCAGGCTCAGTGTGTTTAAAATACAATGAAAAAGGTATGCCCACAGGCGAAGCCATGGTGGCCTTCGAATCTCGGGATGAAGCCACAGCTGCTGTCATTGACTTAAATGACAGACCTATAGGCTCAAGGAAAGTAAAACTTGTCTTAGGGTAGCTGTTCACATCAATTCTTTATAGGGTAGATTTTCATAGTGCTGTGATTAATGCATCCAGATTGTTTTCCTAGTATTTCCAGGTTAGAACCTGTGGATTGTTTCAATTGCATATAGATTGGTTTCTATAACATAGAGCATTGGTTGACTGTTTACAGAAGACTCACTACCAGGATAAATACTGCTGTATGTTACAGTAAAGCTGTCTGGAGAGAACACAAAAATGATTTTGGCGTACCATTAGAGAAACCATTTGTAAAACACAAATGACCACATAAAGCTTATCAAGGAGTTTAGATTGGTTTTGTTTTATACCATATGGGATGAAGAAAATAGAAATGTCAATAGAGCTCATTAAGGGTGCTCTTGCCAGCTGCTGAAAAATAGAAGTTGGCTACTCTTGGAATTTGGTTTAAAGCTGGACAGATTTGCTTTGTTATAGGGTCAAAGCTTTGTCTAAAGTCCTCATTTTCTTTTAAAATTGAATAAAATCTCTGTATACAGATTCACTGTATGTACCTTTATTGCTTCTTGAGGGTTCTTGCTGTATAGACAGTCCTGCTTCTGAAGTTGCTGCTTTTTTGTTTGCCTAATTGACTCATTTGTAAATGAGCAGAACTGTTTTGTTGTTGTTGTTTTAATATAAAACTCCACACTTGGTTTGTGCTATAACCTTGAACTTTGATTTCTAATGTCACACTTAAAACTGTGTGAAATAAGTACTTTTGCCACAAAAATAAAATATGGAGTCCTCTACCTACCAGAGCCTTTTTGGTTTGACCGCCATGTTTTAGTTTAGTCAGTTTAAAAATTGTTCATGTTGTTTAGATGGCATTGAAAACCAGATACTACTTCTAATAATCATTGTTTAAGATGCCAGATTTGAAGTCCTGTCCATGATGGACTAATGTTTTGGCAATTTCCTTCTGTCCCAAATTTGTGTGAAATTTTGGCCTGTAACTAAACAAAGAGGGTCCATTTATAAGAAAGAGCATTATATTTAGGTTTTTTAAAAACTGAAGTTGAAATTGTTAGCTTTGTTAGTAGTAGTGTTATAGAATAAAAGACTCATAAGCTTTTCCATAGATGTGCATTTAATCCTGTTACTTGGAGGCTTTTTGGTCTAGTTGTTTGATCAGGAGCCTGTTCATAAAAATTCTTCATACAGAGTACAAGTGCAGCTGCCAGAGGGGAGAGAATTGAGACTCCTTGCCCTTTCATACTCTTCTTTGGTATTCAGGACACTAAGGCAGGAGGACCACATGGGTTCTGGTTGGTAAGTGTCCTTGTCATGAAAACATTTGCCTTACAACATCCTGCTCACTGCTACAAAAGGCTCTACTTATGGTTACTTTCCTTCTTAGTTAAAATGCTCTAAAGATGTGTCACATTATATTATAAACATATGGAATGGGAGATTGGTGAGATATCATGAAAAACAAATTTTGTCTTTTACATGGGCCTCTGTCTTGGTTTGAAATATCCCCAACATTTCCTGCAAATCAATGTACTTACAAAGGGGTCAGCCTTTTAAAAGAAGTATTTCCTATTAAAGAAAATAGTGCCTTTTTGGTGTTGCAAGTTAGTGGAACACTGAAATACAGCGTCTCGTGTAATTTAGAGTTAAGAGTGGCAGCAGTTTCATTGCGTGATAAGATTTGGAAAGCCTTTTCATCACTACAATCTTAGAGGATTGACAGTACAGGATTTTTTGTTTAGGGAAAGGATTGTTTAGACTTTCAAAGAAGACATGGCTGTGTTGTGGGTCTTTTGACAATTCATGAATACAAATTTGCTTTGACAGATCACTAGATATTGCCTCCTCAACTAAAAAAGCAATATGATGTTTATATATGCTGTTCAATTAAGTTTTCTGTTAAGTAATCATTTCTCATTCCAAAGACCAAGTGCAGAAAACTTCAGCGCTGCTTGGGAGTCTTATTTCAACTGCAGATTATTTTCCCATTGGAGAGCTGACTATTTTCATTTTAGAAAAATGGGTTGTTTGAAGATGAAAGCCTTTTATCTTTTTTCACAGTTTATTTTGGTTATATGTTCGTACAATCTTATTAAATATTTCATATACTTTATTGCAACTACTTTGTTATTTCTACATCTTAGATAAATGCTGAAAAGGAAAACTTGATTTCATTGTTCATCAAATTAAATAAATTAAGAAAATAGTGGTTTGTGTAGAATTTGGAGAGAACTATGTTTCATATTTGGTTGAGTCACAACAGTGCTTCTCTCGTGAAATGTAATTAAATGCTTTGCCCTCTGGAACTTGATTTTTGTGTATCTGAGACTTATTAATAGAGTGCTAACTGCTAAGCGTACTGTTCATCTTGTTATGGGCATTGGAGTTTGAGTTTAAAAAAAATTCTTGAAAATATGTTCTGTGCAATCACTCATACCTCTCTTCCTGCAAATTTTCTCAGAAAAACTAGGTTTGGGGTGAAAATGAATTTATTTTCTCATTTGCTTTGTATGGTATGAAGGATTTGTAAAGCTGCTCAAAGTTGTGTGCATTTGTAAACACTATCATGATATTTTCAATTTTATGTGTAAATTTTGTCTTTGGTGACTGACATGAATGGAAGAGAATCTTTTCCATTAGGTTTAATTCCTCCCACCCCCTTGCCGGGGTGTTTTTGGATTTTTTTAGTTTAAAGGATTAGAGATATCTACGAAATGTATTTTATAAGTAAGCAAATTTGTAAACTTTTTCTGAACTTCAGTGAAACATTTAGTTCACAAGCAAAATTTGGAGGTGTATTCTGTGTTTAATACTGTAGTTTGGATGTACAATTATTAGTGGCTTAAAAAAAAATGCAACGCTGTTAAGTGAAATGTAGTTCCTAGCTTTGTGCTCCAAGTTGTCAAAGCATCAACCGTGAAAATTTCATTAGGGAAATTTTTATTCAAAATTTCAGAGAGTAATGTTCAGTGTAATTAGGTCGGTCTTAACCCACTGGATGAAAATCTAGGGCTGTATATGGACATAAGCAAACATACCTTGGATAAAATAAGGATCCATGAAAGCCTTAACCAAACTCAAAGTCCTTTTTATTGGATTCTGTCATTGTGTACAGGTGTGGGTCAAATGTTTAAAAATAAATCCACTCATCAATTTCAAGAACAGTTAATGAGTAAAGAAACCATAAAGTTGCTGCTAGTTAAATCTGTAAAGAATTTCTAGCAGTGATCACTTTTAAAACTTATTTCCCACTCTTGCAAAATTAACCACATTTAGTTTTACTGGCAGTTCTATGGTAGTCCAAGCGTTAGAAACCAAACACAATAAAAGGATTCATTGCCAATACGGCCACAACATTGCCAGCAAATACTGCCGTGGCATCATTCAGCAGAGGTTTTTGTTTATAAAGATGAAGTCTTGAATACTGTTCAATAAACTTGTCACAAAATAAAAGAGGCTGATGCTTTTAATGCTTTACACAAGAGTACTCTACTGAGCTATACCATCAGGGTTTTTTTGTTGTTGTTGTTGTTGTTTTTTTAAAACTCCTACAAATATTTTGTGCCTTTGGAAAGGTGGATTTGGTGATCTTGGAGGTAACCATTGTTGCTATCCTTGTCTGCTAATGGTCAAGTGTGGAAAGAAGATACCTGGAACGGCAGGGAGGAAACTTGATTCTAGGTCAAATCTGTGGTATCCACCTTTTCAGACTTTTATCTTGTATGCTTTGCTAGCAAGCCACTTCGTTATGTGGACTCAGAAAGAACCAGAAACCAGGTGCTCCTTTTTACAGAAGGTGTCTTAAAGGGGGCTATGAATTGTCTTTTTAAAAAACTGATTACTTTAAGAAATGGGAAAAGAAATCTTCAGAATACATTGTCAATTGCACATCTAATTAGAGCTTTTTCTTTTTTGTTTACTTTTGCATTAGTATGTGAGGTATTTTGAGGTGGGGAAGTGGGGAGAGGAATCAAAAATACTGCTGCTTTCTGACATTGATGTTCTCGTTTTGTCCCTTCCACATTTGTTCAACTGCTGAAAAAAAAGTAGCAAATGAAAAGTTTCCATTAACTCCGGAGTCCTTTAAAAAAAAAAGCTGGATTGGAGTTGCAGAGAAATTAGTGGGCTATTCCTTTTAACCAGAGCTCTTGAAAAATATATATTAACTTTTACCTCTATCATGAGTTTTTAGCCTGTATTTTGAGTTTCAATACCCAGGTTGTTTTAGAGGGGTTTAGACTTAAACATACTTAATTCCAGGTGGTTGCTGAACTGTTCTAAAATTATGAAGGTTTGACTAAGCATTTGAAAAATCAGCTGATACCCAGATACCCAGAATGGCCTTTACCATCTTAAAAGGATAGATTGTATGCTAATAATATGTTTTGTTTTCTTGCTCAGGAGAAAAGTCTCACTTTAATTCATTGTTGTCTGCTTTCCAGTGTTTTACAACAAGAAATGGTTTATCAGTTATGAGCATCGCCACCATTCTCCTTAACCCCCAAAAGTAGAGCGTTTATAGGATATGATAGAGTCCAAACTTACGACTAAAAAAATTGCTTGATTTCAGTTTTGTCTTTTTAGTATAAAATCTGATAGATCACATTGACTTACTCTAAAATTTCTGGAGTGAGTGTATTCTGGTTGTGGCACAGTTTTCTGATGCTGTAGTGACTTTTCTGGAAAAACCCTTCTGTCCGACAGTATGAGCAAGTTCATCTCTTAATGGTGCCTGTTCATGTAAATGTTAATTCTTTATTGTGCTGTTACTGGATTTATTCTTGTTGCCTTGTGCTACTTTGTGCCAGAGGATCTCACAAGCATCTTAGAATATGGCTCCTTTTCTGGATCAACATAACTAACAACGAGCAACTAAGGTGGCACTGCTTTTCTACATACTGCTCTACTACTGAAGAGTCCAGAAGGGGCAAAAAAGCCACTTGAAAGCATTCTAGCTCCAGGGGCAGAAGGGCAGCACTCTCAAAATCTGGGGGCAACAAATAGTGCTGGGCAAAATCTCATTAACCATTATCTTTTAATTCCGAGAGGCCCAGGGACCTTCCCCTAGTGAAAATGTTGGTAGTTAAGTCCTAGAGACTAAGGAAACACCAGTTGTGGGTTAAATGACACAGCAGACATTGGAATTGGCATCCCAGCTGTACCAGACATCTGGATTCTGATTTTAGTAGCTTAATGTTTGAGGTCATTTTTCTTAGTGAGCCAGTGGCTTGCTATTTCATGTTGAGAGGAGGAGGAGGTGACTATTGGGGAAAAATAGGGCCATAACTAGCAAGAGAACATAATTCATTATGGACAGTCAGATATTGAAGAAGCATAAAACACTCCCAGGAGTGAGCTGTGCTATATTCAAACAGGCTGCCCCTTAGTGTTTCATTCCCTCTCCATGCTGATGCTGCCAGTTTTCCCCTTTTCCTTGCTTATAATAGTAAGTCCGTTGGTAACCAGGGCTATGAGTTTCTCACTGCTATTTCTGTAGCCTAGCCGCCTGACTCGGGGTGGGGTGGGGGCGAG